TTGTAGTCCCCTTTGAATAATAATACCTTTTGAGAAAGTAAGGTTACATTAAATTCAATGGAAGCGTCATGTCTATTCATATCATTGTGGGAAAATTCAACAAGGAGTCTTTCACCACCTTAAACTCAATAGGGTGGACACAGCTCATATGTCTGATCTATTGGTAGTCTCGAAGACCTACTTACCCACCTACTCCACTCTATCTCTCTCCTCTTGATCTCGTGATCTTTCAAATTTATGGATTCATAATGCCTAAAAATGTGTTAACAGACATAAACCACTTAGTAAGTCGAATCAACTACAGCCGGCACTCATCGTTATCTTCACTTTTCACTCTCGGTCAGCATCAAAAAGTGCTGCCCAAACTGATGACTGTCCAGACTTCAGAATCACCCCCTAGTCAGGAGACTGAAGATCAGGGCGACCGACAGACAGGCCTCATTTTGGCCCAGGCTAGCTCGAATCCAGTGGGGACTCACGATACTTCTGCATCCCCTGGCAAGACCGCCGCAGAAACTCTTCTCACACCTCACCAGCAGCCCAGTGGTCAAATGACCCAAGCTAATTGGGTCCCAGCAAGCAGCACTGAGATGCGCCCTGTCGGCAGATCCCGATCCCTGACTTCACTGATCAAAAATCCTCAATTTTCAAGTAAGAGACGAAATAATTGTTATTTGAAATGAGAGAGCATACAACATGCAATGGTAAATGGTCAAAAAGCAGAAAAGTTTGACAAAATATTATGAAATGTACATTTGATTGCCGGTTTTTTCAAATGTTACCTAATTGCATCAAAATCAGGAAGCTGTCGAGCGGACAGATCGCTCTCATAGGACCTCGAAACCATGCTTAATTTTGGGGTTATTCATAATTGCTTTATTATTAAGTTTAAGCATTATTAGTAAGAATATGTAAGATCATAGGATAGTGTCCCATGTTTTGTTCAGAATTAGATTAGATGATAATAAAACAAAAATGTCTCTATTAACTAGAGCTAAGACCAAATTCCGGACTTAAAAATATGATATAACTCTGAGCTTCGTCAGATCCAGAAAACGTACTCTACGAAAATCTGCACCAAGCGCAATTAATTAAGAAATAATGGTGATTCGATGCAACCGTACTCCCTTCGTATGGCTAACTAATGAGAAATCCCATTATTTAGTTGGCTATTTCATGCCTTACGTACATTTTTGTTGATGGGAGAGATTGGGACATGAGAAGTAAGTGGTGTAGTGGCAACTGTTTTCTTCTTTATATGCTCAAACGTATGACCCTTCCTTTTATTCACGTATGTTATTTTATGTAATGCCAAGTCCTAAGAAATAGGAGAGCCTATCAAAAATCAATATATAGTCGCCTCTAATTTCCCGCACTCATTCCTCGTATTCAGGATGTTGGCTGTTTTGTTTATTTCTATAGACTCACTGATCTTATGCTTGGATGTGAAAACCTTCATTAGCCTGTAAAACACTGTGTTTTGGACCATTCTATTTAGTGTCCTGTATCAACTATGTGCTCAGTTGACTCGAATATTTTAACCTATATACCTCTTGGAAGGGTCACTGGATATTCACGTAGAATGGATACTTAGAAATAAGAAGAAGCTAAAAAAGAAGTAACAAATGGTACCTTTGGCTAAAAACTTGGAGTAATTCAATTATGGATAGTCACGTTTTCGGC